TAGTTTCCATTTTAAAATCTAATGTTTTCACTCTAATGGTTTTTGGTTGTTTGGGTGGTTCTTTTGTGGGGGTTTTGGGTTGGTTTTTTGGCTGGTTTTGGTTTAGGTGTGGGGTTGGGGTTTTTTTGAGGGATTCAGTTTTTGGTTGGTTTTGGGTTTTGTTTGTTTGTTTTTTGTGGTTTTATTGTGGTTTTTTGGGGGGGTTTTGTGTGTGTGTGTGTGTGTGTGTAGAGGGGAGGAAGCAGCCAGGAAGAAGAAAGGTGTGGTGGGTTGACCCTGGCTGGAGGCTAGGTGCCCACCAAAGCCTCTCTACCACTGCCCTACTCAGCTGGGCAGGGGAGAGAAAATATGAAAGACTCGCAGCTTGAGATAAGGGCAGGGAGAGAAGATTCAGCAATTACCATCACAGAAAAAACAGACTTGACTTGGGGAAAAAGACTAATTTATCATGAATCAAAATCCAAGTAAAAAGAGAACTAAAACCAAATCTTAAGAACACCTTCTTCCCACCCCACCCTTCCTCCCAGGCTCAAATTCACTCCCACTTTTCTCTGCTTCCCGCCCCTTAGCAGCGTAGAGGAACAGAGAATGGGAATTGTGATCATTTCATCACACATTGTCTCTGCTTCTCCTTCCACCTCACACTCTTCCTCTGCTCCAGTCTGAGGTCCCTCCCACAGGAGTCAGTCCTCCACAAACCTCTCCAGTGCGAGTCCTTCCCATGGACGGCAGTTTATCATGAACTACTCCTGCGTGGGTCCCTCTCATGGCATGCAATCCTTCCTTCAGGAGCATCCTGCTCCAGCCTGGGTCCCTCTGGGGTCACAAGTCCTGCCAGCAAACCTGCTCCGGCCCGGGCTCCTCTCTCCAAGGGTCCACAGATCCTGCTAGGAGCTTCAAGATGCTCACTAGTTTTATTGGCTCAGGCAATCTCCCACCAACATACTCTTTATCAGAACAATAACAGTAGCTAACTATTGAGATGAAAACAGATGGCAGCCTCTGATGATAGTGTTAGAAAATAAACTTATTTTAAAAGACCACATAACAGTGCTGCTTTGCCCCTAGTCTTTCCCTCCCTGCCTTTGCTTGACACATCAGACAGACAACTGAAATTAAACGTACCTCAGTGGCAGGAGACTCTTACCATACCTGCCACTGAGTAACATTTGTATTTGCATGTCACAAATATTACTTGTCCCTTTCCTCCTCAGAATCTTTTTACAATTGTTTCAGTGCAAGATCTGTGTCTGCAAATAAACTTAGTTGGTATTGATCACACTCACAAAGTTTATTTATGCATTGAGCACAAAGGTAGTCAGAGTATAAATTTGGCTTCTGTGTGTGCTGAAAAAAGGGAGAAGCAATAAAATATACACAAACACAGATGATGAGTGTCCCTAGTAAAGAATTTAAGAGTGGTACATTTGGACATATTAATTATTTTGATTTGTTTACACTCTACAAAGCTTGAAAAAACAATGGGAAAGACAGAAAAAGAAGTATACTTTCAAGGAGAGCTACATAATCTCAGAGAAGAAAAAAAAAAAGACAGACTCAAACCTTAGGTGATAGTGATAGAGAAGGCCCCTTAGTTCATGGCTATATCCCACACTACCACTCACATTTTCTCTCCCAGAACCTGCATTGATCTTCAAGCATTTATCATTCATTTTGTGTCTTCAACTCCGTTTCATTTTTAACCAAGGAATCAAGAGAGCTTATGCAAGAGCTAGGCACATTTCTGCTCATCTGAACTAGACTTCCGGCACGGACAATTGCAGACATTACAGCATTAAGAAGGTTTGAGGGGTCCCTTAGCAGCTGATCACGTCTTTCAAAAGTATAAATTTCATGTTTAAGCAGTTCCTAAAAAAAAAAAAAGTATTAGACCCTTAAACCAGACCTATCAGAGATAAACTAAAAAGCTAGAATTATTAGAACACAATGGGAATGCGGAAAACCACACAGCTGCTCTCACACAGAAATACGAAGTTACCTGCCTACCAGAAGGGGCACAGAGGCTCATACACTTGTATGCTGCAGAGGTTCAAGGCTCAACAGTCCACACAAGCAGCAACTGAAAGAAAAAACACTCATCTTGACAACTTGCTTCCATCTAGCTAACGTCTTACGTAAATTCATATTTTTAGTTCAGGGATTCTTGAATGATCTTTTCAGACACATTAGAATTTTCCAGTGGAAGGACACAACCAGGGGTAGCAAATATAAACCTCCTGATAGTAGATCTGCTTTTTACATCACTTTTTGTGGATTCGTCAGAAGGTACCCACAAACCTCAGGTTGAAAGCCATTAATTTACTGGTTCTGACCTTGCAAAGACCTCTGCTCACCCCAAAACTTTATGCCACAAGCTTTACATGGGTCTTCAAAAACCAACCTTATTTTTAAAAGCCACATGTACGGTAAGCTGAAAAATATCCATGCACATTTACTGGTAAGCAGGTTTTGCTTAATTTTTACCAATGCTAGTAGAAATTGTGTTACACTGGATTGTATTACAGTGATTCTTCAAAAACTACACAGCAATTCACAGGAAAAACATCAGTCTAACAGTTCTACCAAAGCCTCTAATAGAAAACCCAACATTATACTAAGGAAAAAAAAATCAGCAGAAGTTCCCACCTGAACAAATAACACAAATCCAAAGAACTACTGAATGGATAAAAGGCCTGCATTCATTTGCCAAGTGATGAAATATAATAAAAATGTAAAATTAAGTACTTGAAACTACTAAATACTCAGAATTGTTGTAGACTGAGGCTATTTTTCATTCTAAATACCATATGGGTGGATGTGTTTTTCTTTCATTTACTGGAAACAAAAGTCATGCTATGTCAGCATACAGACTGCTAAATAAATCAAGGAGGTTAGTTAAATACATGTTAAAATGTTAGAGGGGGAAAAAAAAAAAAGGACATTCCTTAACATACTTAGTCTTCCTGCAAAGATGCTGGGG